GTCCGCTAGCAGCGGCGCCGTCGCCGTCCTCGCGTCCGCTAGCAGCGGCGTCGTCGCCGTCCTCGCATCCGCTGGCAGCGGCGTCGTCGCCGTCCTCGCATCCGCTGGCAGCGGCGTCGTCGCCGTCCTCGCGTCCGCTGGCAGCGGGGTCATCATCATCCGCGTCCGCTGGCAGCGGGGCCATCATCATTCTCGCGTCCGCTGCAGCGGAGTCATCATCATCCTCGCGTCCGCTAGCAGCGGCGCCGTCGCTGTCCTCGCGTCCGCTAGCAGCGGCGTCGTCGCCGTCCTCGCATCCGCTGCACAGCGGCGTCGTCGCCGTCCTCGCATCCGCTGGCAGCGGCGTCGTCGCCGTCCTCGCCTTCGCTGGCAGCGGGCGCCGTCGCCGTCCTCGCGTCCGCTGGCAGCGGCGCCGTCGCCGTCTTCGCGTCCACCGTCTTCCTCTTCGGGATGACGTATCCTTCACTTCTTGCTAAAATAGATAAAAAAAATTATTAGATAAAAAAGGGAGAGAGAGAGAGAGAGAGATATTATATGAAATACTTACGTCGCGGCATCTTGGTTCCTCTATCTTCGGCGACGAAAAGTGGACTGCTCATCTCCGAGTTCGTGCGTTGTTGCCGCGCGGCTGATTGTTATTTGTTTGCAAATAAGATGTTGCCGCACGGCGCGCACACACACACACACATATTGAATGTTACTTTTTTTCTTTCCTGTGTCTTTCGCTTTCGCTTTGAAAGATTGCAGGAGAATTTTTTATTTATACAGGCGTTCCTAGGGTACTTGGCGCCGGGGTCATCGGGGTGCCACACTAAATTTGCCGCCTCTACTTATATCTTTTATATTCTTATATATTTCGATTTAAAAGGACTCAATAAAAAAGTTTTTTAATAAACAATTTTCTAAGAGGTAGGACTTGTTTTTGAAAAAATTTTCATGAGTGTGCCGCCCCGTGGCGCCCGTGTGCCCTGCACTCTTTGCACACCCGGGTTGGAACGCCCCTGTATTTATATATAATTATATAACATTTATAATTATATATGATTATATATAATTATATATAATAATTATATATAATCATATATAATTATATATTATAAAATATATAATAAAAAAAAAAACATGTTTGATATATTACACAAAAAAAAAGTTTTTCTCGGTCTTGAACCCTAGTTCGCACGGTGGTAATCCCACGCTCTAAATTGACGCCACGGAATTCATATTATCAATATAGATTTTTATGACATATTTGAATTAAAAAGAAATAATTTTTAGAAAAAATATATTCATCCACTTATTTCAAAAAGATAAGATACAAAATAAAACTACTTTTATCTTTTGGAAATAAGTGGATGGTGTATATATTTTTCTATGTAAAGAAACGTAAAACAATTTGTAGTATTATTGGTGCCATATACGATTTATGATATCAATATGGGGTTTTATGAGCTATTTGAATTAAAATAATTTTTTAGAAAAAATATTATTATCCACTTATTTCAAAAAGATAAAAGTAGTTTTATTTTGTATTCTTTGAAATAAGTGGACGAATTTTTTCTAAAAAATATTTCTTTTTAATTCAAATAAAAAATAATATTGATATCATAAAACGTATATAGCGCCAATAATACTATAAATTGTTTTACGTTTCGTTACATAGAACAAATATAAAACCATCCACTTATTTCAAAAAGATAAAAGTAGTTTGTTTTTTATTTTATCTTGAAATAAGTGGATGAATATATTTTTACTAAAACATTTCTCTTTAATTCAAATATCTCATAAAAATCCATATTGATACAAGAGTCCTGTGGCGCCAATTTAGAGCGTGGGATTCACCGTGCGAACCAGGGTTAAGTCCGCGTAGGACATGCCCTTTTCGCATGATGCGATGGCCGTCGTTGCCAGCGGACGCGAGGATGATGATGACGGCGATAAATGTCGCTCTTCCCCCCCCCTGCACCGCCAGCACCAGGATACATGTCCGCACACACCGGCAGCACCAGGCTACGTGTCCGCACCGCCGGCAGCACCAGGATATATATCCGCACCGCCCAGCACCAGGATATAATATATGCAGCATTGCCCGACAGCACCAGGTTAAAATAATCCCGCACAGGGCCCAGGACTTAATTTTTTTTTTTTTTTTTTTTTTTTTTTTTTTTAATAAAATAATTTATTCATGAAACTAATAAGATTATAACAAGAATATATAATAAGAATATTTTTAAATTGATCAATCTATGGTTTAATTTATCGTCATCGAAGAGGAAAGCAGGAAAATCTTCGATTACGTTTATTTGACAATCATAATTAAAAATATTCGAAAAATCATATGATTTTGTTTTGTAATTGTCAATTTAATCTTTGATTGAATTTGCTCGATAAGAAAATTAGTTATATTTCACAATTTTACATTATAAATGTTGATAAAAATTCAAGTTGTGAACTTTGACTTCGGAATCGAGCAAATTCAATGGAAGATAGTATCGACAATTTATCATTTGATCGAATATCTGATTGATAAGAAATAAACATAATCGTAGATTTTCCTTTCCTTCCTTTGATGACGCGATAAATTGAACCAATATATTGATCAATTAAAAAAATTATTCTTATTATATATTCTTATTAGTTGATAATAATTATTTTATTCATAAAATAGATTGCAAAAATAAAATCTTGGGCTTTTTTGTACGTGGATATCATTCTAATGCTACGGGCAGTGGGCACATTTGAAAATCTATTTATAATTGTGCAAAAATTATATATATATATATGAAGATAAAATTATATATTTTTTGCACAATTATAAATATAGATTTTCAAATGTGCCCACACTGCCCGTAGCATTAGAATGATATCCACGTACAAAAAAGCCCAAGATTTTATTTTTGCAATCTATTTTATGAATAAAATAATTATTTATCAAACTAATAAGAATATATAATAAGAATAATTTTTTTAAATTGATCAATATATTGGTTCAATTTATCGCGTCATCAAAGGGGAAGGAAAAGAAAATCTACGATTATGTTTATTTCTTATCAATCAGATATTCAATCAAATGATAAATTGTCGATACTATCTTCCATTGAATTTGCTCGATTCCGAAGTCAAAGTTCACAACTTGAATTTTATCAACATTTATAATGTAAAATTGTGAAATATAACTAATTTTCTTATCGAGCAAATTCAATCAAAGATTAAATTGACAATTACAAACAAAAGCATATGATTTTCAAATATTTTTAATTATGATTGTCAAATAAACGTAATCGAAGATTTTCCTGCTTTCCTCTTCGATGACGATAAATTAAACCAATAGATTGATCAATTTAAAAATATTGTTATTATATATTCTTGTTATAATTTTATTAATTTCATGAATAAATTAGTTTATTCAAAAAAAAAAAATGCAAAAATTTAAGTCCTGGGCGGGGATTATTAACCTGGTGCTGTCGGGCAATGCTGAATATATATAAATAATAATCCTTAAGGTTGCCAGTAATAATTAATAAAAAACCACTCCTCAATGTTTAAAGTCGACCAGACTGGCAATAATTTATTATAAATAATTATTTGAAATACAACGTTTCGGCTGTCATTGCAGCCCTTTTCAAGTACATCTATAAAAAGTTCCATCAAAATAATTATAATTTATTACACTTATTCGCAACAATTAATTATACATTTAAAAACAAAAATGTGTTACATACCAAATTTAAAACAGTAAATCAACTTCTATGCAAACTACCGACAATGTTAACGCTTGTTTTGATGAACAATGCAAGACTGACAGAAGTAAGCACATATTAAATAGATGTTAACTGTTCGCAAGAATCTTAGTCACTAGCGTTAAGAAAATAGAGACGAAACTAAATGTGTCTTTCGTAATTTAAATCGTCATAATAAAGTCAAATAAATAAAAATAAATAAATAGGTGGATATAAAAATAAAAATAAAATTAAAAGTAAATAATAAACGACTTAAATAACGTTAAGAACACGATCATTGTTCGCGAACGCGCTGCGTGAGAGGAATCGAACGACACCAAAAAAGGATGAGTCATTTAGTATAAAAGAAACTTTTAATATACGAATCTTTACGGAAATATAATGTACAATACTTAACAATTAAACGCACAAAAAATTAACACAAAATCTAATCAGTTTCAGCGGACAATTCGAAATCACAAGAAAAGGCGGTGGTCGTCGATTTAATGTTCTGCGGTTTTTCTAAGCGGTTTACTCTTATGCGTACACGGCGGAAAGCGATAAGACCTCAACCGGGTGTGAGCTCTTTTATCATTTTCGGAGAGGAGCCCACCCTCGCGTGAAGCGCCAATAATTTTGCGTGATTTTAAAGTGGCGCATGCTCAATAGCATATAATTATTCGGCGGAACGGTTGCGACACCGTTACTTGTTTGTGTATTTGAGCGTTTTTTTATATGACAGCTGTCAATTTACGACTTTTTTATTCCATTACAAACAAATGTGACTTTATTATTGCCGATCGAAGATTCTAGAATTTAACAATAACTATTTTCGAGATCGAACCTTGTCTCGACTGAAAACGTATAATATATGAAAATCCTAATTACATTTTACTGCCGAAATAATTTAACTGGCGATAAGAATTATTTTGCATCTCAAACATCCCGCCCGCCTTGTCGCAACGTGACAAATGGTTGATGATGATTTCGGCGCGGATCACATTCCGATGGTGATTGATGGTGGGGCGGGCTCGCGTCGGCGCGGCGAAATTCACGTGATGATCGCGTGTGCGAATCGATCAGCTGAGTCGACGAAAACACGTGGTGATCGCGTGATGTGAATCGATCAGCTGGAACGGCGAAAACATGTGGCAGATGTGAACGGCGAGTGTGAGATGCAGTGAGCGGTGAAAATGAGACGAGTTTTAGTGCGGTGGTGAGCGAGACAAGTGATGTGTGACAATTGATATGGTGCATGATGTGATGATTGTGTAGTGAGTGATGCTATGTGTCAATGTGCGGTGTAGGCGCGTCGTTCACGCCCGGAAGAAACACGAGCTTGACGAGTGGGCGCACGAGCTCGGACGTGGCCGTTCGGATGGTCACGACGCGTGTAATTCCGTCGTCTCCGGGGTGCAAACGCAATATGCGAGCGAGAGGCCATCGGCTCGGAGGGGTGATCTCGGAGCGCACGAGACAGAGATCGCCGACGTGGGGTGCAGGTGCATCCTTGAGCCACTTGGTGCGTGGGGCGAGTCCGTGCACGTATTCGGATGACCATCGCTGCCAGAAGTGATCCCTCATCCGCTGCAGATGACGCCAACGTGACAAGGTGGACACCGTCTGCTCTGTCAATGACGGTTCCGGCAAGGCGAGGAGCGGTGCCCAACGAACGTGAAGACGGGGGTCAGCGCCGAGACGTCCTCTGGATCATCTGAGAGTGCCTGTAACGGACGTGAATTCAGACAAGCTTCGATCTGGGCGAGGAGTGTGCTCAACTCCTCGAACGTGAGGGTGGTCTCGCCGATCACCCGACGGAGGTGAAACTTGGTCGACTTTACGGCGGCCTCCCACAAACCACCAAAGTGCGGGGCCGCTGGCGGGTTGAAGTGCCAGCGGATTCCTTGATCGGTGGCGGCAAGGATGACACTTTGACCTTCGGCTGTCGCTGCGTTAAAGAGACCTCGCAGCGTCCGATCTGCCCCGATGAAAGTCGTGCCGCAGTCGCTGTAAATCTCAGCGCACAAACCCCGGCGGGAGATGAAGCGGCGCAGCGCGGCGATGAAGGCCTCCGAGGTGTAGTCCGAGACAACTTCTAAGTGAATGGCCTTCGACCAGAAGCAGACGAAGACGGCGATGTATCCCTTGTGCGCACGGTGTCCACGCCCCTTGCTGGTCCGGAGGAGGATTGGTCCCGCGTAGTCCAAACCGGTGCTGAGGAACGGTCGAGTTGGCGTTACTCGGTCCCGAGGAAGGTTACCCATCGGAGGCTGTGGTGTTGCGGCGCGCCATCGAGTGCAGGTCACGCATCGGTGTAGCTGCTGTTTGACGGTGGTCCTTCCTCGGGGCACCCAGAAACGCAGGCGGAGCAAGCCGAGAGTCAGTTGCACACCTCCGTGCAGTGTCCGTCGGTGGCAGGAATCAATCACCAGCCGAGTCAACCATGATGCCGCCGGGATGATCATTGGATGTCTTTCGTCGAGTGGTAGCTGAGCATGCTTGAGACGTCCTCCGACGCGCAGCACGCCTTGATCATCGAGGACCGGACTCAACCTCGCTAGGTGGCTTCGCGGTGGACTAGTGCGTCCAGCAGAGGCCGCAGCTACGTCCGTAGGAAAGTGGAGCGCCTGCACCACTCGCAGCCATCGAAATAAGGCGACGTCCAGCTCGTCCGGATGCAAAGTGCGGCCAAGTATGACGTCGCGTCTCGCCGGATTGAGCCATCGCCGACACCATGCAGTAACTCGCAGCAGCCTTTGTAGCGTCGGGAACCGGAGGAGGAGGTCAGGTTCGGCCGTGATCGGTGCCTTGACCACCAAACTGGTGGCTCGCTGCTCCGGGAGGTCATCCTCTGCGGCTTCGATGACGGAACAAGGCCATGCAGTCTCGTCTCCTGACAGCCAGGTAGGTCCTGTCCACCACAGTTTATGCTTAATGAGTTCGTCAGGAGTAACACCGCGTGATGCACAATCTGCAGGATTCTCTCGTCCAGCGATGTGTCTCCATTGAGCGTCTGGCAGCAGGGTCTGGATCTGAGACACTCGATTGGCGACAAAGGTTTTCCAGCGGGTGCTGTGTCCTTGAATCCAGTGGAGCGTGACCTTTGAATCTGACCACAGATGCACTGGCGTCGTTGTCAAACCGAGAGTAGAGCGCACGTGGAGCATGAGCGTGGTAAGTAGAGCTGCTGCACAGAGTTCCAAGCGAGGTAACGACACCTGCTTGACAGGTGCGACCTTGGATTTTGCCATCAACAGGTTGATTGATGTTTTCTCTGTTGCAGCGTTGCGGATGTACACCACGGCGGCGTACCCTCGCTCTGATGCGTCGGCAAACCCATGGAGCTGCAGTTGTGAATGGTCGGTCCCAGTGTTGAGCCAGCGAGTTATGCGGATGTCATCTAGAAGAGGAAGCTGATTCAACAACTGCCTCCAGCGGTGTGCGTCCTGATCAGGCAGCGGGGAGTCCCAGTCCAGCCGTTGAAGCCACGTCGTCTGAATCAGAATTTTGGCTCTGATGACGACAGGTGCGAGCCACCCCATCGGGTCAAAGAGTCGAGCCGTCTCGGCCAAAACTCGTCGCTTCGTGAAGTCGGTGATTGCACGCGGACGTATGGTGAAGGAGAACCAGTCACCTTGCGGATGCCATCGGAGGCCCAAGGTAGCGTGACTCTCTCCCTCCCATGAGTGCGGTTTGCGTTGATGCCGATGTTCCGGTGGAACTCCGGTGAGCACCTGCTGATCGTTGGCAGCCCACTTCCTCAAAGGAAATCCGCCCGCCATGCAAAGACTCCGTAGTTCCTGCTGAAGGTCGATAGCGTCCTCCAAGCTATCAGCGCCGGTGACCACGTCGTCGACGTAGCAGTCGTGTCGCAGTGCCTTGACTCCGCGTGGATATCGTGCCTCTTCGTCTGCTGCGAGTTGATGAAGAGTCCTGATGGCGAGAAAGGGTGCACACGCTAGCCCGTAGGTCACGGTCCTCAGCTCGTACTCGTGGACGTCATCAGAGCTGGTGTGGCGCCACAAGATGGTTTGCAGGCGACGATCCTCCGGATGTACAAGAATTTGTCGGTACATCTTCTCGATATCCGTGACGAGAACGTACCGATGCCAACGCCAACGAAGTAGGACATCAGCGAGTGTTGGCAAGAGATTGGCTCCAGTGAGGAGGTGTGCGTTCAGCGACTCTCCGGACGTGTGCGCTGGGAGCCGTTGAACACAACCCTGAGCTTCGTGGTCGTGCTTGACTCCTTGAGGACCCCGTGATGCGGTAAGTAGCACCTAGGGCTGCAGGTTGTTGAAGTTGTGCTGACCTCCATATGTTGCAGGTTCTCGTATTCCTCCATGAAATCTCGATAGAGGTCACCGAAACGAGGATCTCGTGCTCCCTTCCGCTCCATGGCTTCCAGGAGGCGCTCTGCGGGTCGACGAGTCTCGCTGAGCGATGTCGGCGGCGGTGAAGTACATGGCAGCCTCACCATGTACCTGCCACTGGACGTGCGAGTGACCGTGCGCACGTAGAAGTCTTCGCACCTGGCTTCGTCGGCGGTGAGCGGTGTCCCAGCTACTGGCTCGCGTTCCTGCTCCCAGAAGCGTCGAACCATGTTAGCGAGGTCGTGGTCTGTGGTGCACTGGAACGTGCGGCGATGGCCTTCGGGTGCTGCGGCGTCGTAGCCTCCGGACAAGATCCATCCTAAGCTCGTCTGCTGGGCGATCGGCATCCGTGATCCGCCCTTGCGAAGGCCTTCCTCGAGGATCAGCGAGTAGACTTCTGCTCCCAGAAGTAACTCCGCAGGATCGTCATCCAGGAAGCGCGGGTCGGCCAATCGAAGTCCGTGGATGTGAGGCCAGCTACGATCTTCACGTTGAGCGGTGCCTTGTTGCAATGAGATGCGCGGCAGCACAAAGGCCCCACGCGAAGCTCGGCATTGGTCACGTCAGATGTGATGTCTATCGTGACCTTGCCACGCGCTGATCCAGAGCGAGTCCCTCCGATGCCGAAGATGGACAGATCCGTTGAAGCTCGAGGCAGCCGAAGACGCTGAGCCAGAGCCTCAGAGATGATGGACACCTCGGAGCACTGATCTATCAAGACTCTAACCTCGTGTGGTGATCCGTATCGATCAGCGACCTTGACGCGAGCGGTTGCGAGAAGGACGGCCTTGTGCGTCTTAGCTTGCCGTGCAGTGACCAGTGTGGTGGCAAGTGAAGTGGCCTCAGCGGATGGTGTTGATGTGGATGCCCCGTGCAGCATGGTGTGGTGTCGTGCGTTGCAGGTGAGGCAATTCTTTTTGACTGACACCGTGCTAAGAAATGATTGCCTAGGCAGTTGAAGCACAGTCGGTTGGTCTCCACGAACGTTTTCCGCTCAACCGCAGTCTTGGCCTTGAAGCTTTTGCACGTCATCAAGGTATGGTTTTCACGGCACAGTGCACAGTGAGGTGAATCCGCGCCTTGGTGCTTCGTGACGTGCGCTTTGGCGAATCGTGATGTTTCTCCAGGTCCCTTTGTGACACTCCTCGGTCGTGCGGCGTTGAGCGTCAATACTCGTCGACTAATAAAGTCGAGAAGTGCCTCGTTCTGTGGTGGTTCGGTGGAGTCTGAAGTGGTTGACTCCCATTCGAGACGAGTGCGTGCGTCGAACAGTTCGACGACCAGGTGGTTGAACAGGTCCATCCCATGCGAGTTGATAGGACGTCCGATGCTCTCCTGTGCGTTGACTGCGGCGGTGACAGCGTTGTGGATGCGGCTCAGCTCGGCGGTATCTCCCTTCATCTTTGGCACGGCGGTAAACGTGGCAAAGTTGGAGCGGATTAATTCTCTTTTGTTATTGTAGTGCTTGTCCAAGATTGCCCAAGCGCGATCGTAATTGTCACTCGTGACAGGTAGTGACTTTATCAACTTTCAGCCGGACCTGTCAGACACGAGCGGAGGTGGTGGAGCCGCTCAATGTTCGAGATCGAATTGCTGCTCACAATGGACAGAAAAAGATCGCGAAAGGATGGCCAATCGGCGTAGGCGCCAGAGAACGGCGGCAACTTGATGCGCGGCAGCGAAGACTTCGATGCGACGTCGACGGATGGAGATACGTTCGGCTTCCGGAAATGTTCGGCATAACTATCCAAGGTACTGCGTTGTGCAACGTACAGATTTTCCGTATCTCCATGCAACTCCGACTTGTAGTATTCGCTCTCACAATATTTTTCTTTCAGAGCTGCGCGAATGAGATCATGCTGTGCCTCGAATTTCGTCCACAGCTGATCTAAGATTCTGGTGCGTGTAGATACGGCACTGGCGGTGATGTTGGTCGTGCCCAGCTTCTTCAGGTATTCCACGGAGCGCGAAATACGGACCTGGATCTCACGTTGGCAATCGATCAACGTGTTCACATCCATGGTGAACTACGAGCACTCACGAACTACACGAAGACACGTTCACAAACTTGCGGGTGCCGGCGAGAAGATCCGGCTCGAAGGACCAGAAATATGTTCGCGAACGCGCTGCGTGAGAGGAATCGAACGACACCAAAAAAAAGGATGAGTCACTTTTAGTATAAAAGAAACTTTTAATATACGAATCTTTACGGAAATATAATGTACAATACTTAACAATTAAACGCACAAAAAATTAACACAAAATCTAATCAGTTTCAGCGGACAATTCGAAATCACAAGAAAAGGCGGTGGTCGTCGATTTAATGTTCTGCGGTTTTTCTAAGCGGTTTACTCTTATGCGTACACGGCGGAAAGCGATAAGACCTAAACCGGGTGTGAGCTCCTCTTTTATCATTTTCGGAGAGGAGCCCCCCTCGCGTGAAGCGCCAATAATTTTGCGTGATTTTAAAGTGGCGCATGCTCAATAGCATATAATTATTCGGCGGAACGGTTGCGACACCGTTACTTGTTTGTGTATTTGAGCGTTTTTTATATGACAGCTGTCAATTTACGACTCCTTTTTATTCCATTACAAACAAATGTGACTTTATTATTGCCGATCGAAGATTCTAGAATTTAACAATAACTATTTTCGAGATCGAACCTTGTCTCGACTGAAAACGTATAATATATGAAAATCCTAATTACATTTTACTGCCGAAATAATTTAACTGGCGATAAGAATTATTTGCATCTCAAACAATCATAATCCCACTGAAATTCTCCGTATCTTCCTGTAAATAATACTTTTTCCTGTTTTTTTATGTAAAACATTTCTGACATTTCCTTTTTCTTGTCTGTTTTTCTCATGCAGAATCACGGAGAATCCCAACGGAACCATCGATCGTTGCAGTCCGATGTAAACTAACGACAGAATGCATGTCTGGTCTTTTTTTATGTTATTTCTAGTCTTTAATGCGCGTTCTACACGTCTCTTTGTCTGTCTATATAAGCGAATCGCAATTCGCCAAATTCAATTTATTAAACAACATCAGTTCTTTTAAGTTTCGATCCATCTTTACCTCTTTTTATCAACGTGTCCAATTTCTGGGACAGTATATAAGCATCAATTCCAATTTTATTGATGCAACGCGTAATATTCTCGCTAAGATCTTTAATGTAAGGGACATATATATATGTGTGTGTATGTGTATGAACAGGCCTATCTATAATATTATAATTGATTACAAAGTAAATATTCTTTGTAATGATTTATATAAAAGTATTTAGAAATTGAATACATAATAATGCTATTATTATCAAAAAACAGAGCAGATAGGTTAGATAAGAATAAATCATATAAATCATTTATTTGTTACACAAAAATTATCTACTAAAACTTTGTAATCATTATATTTATAAAAGATTTTTATATATTATTAGATTATAAATTAATTACTTTTGTAATGTACAATATTTTAAAAAAATATATACGTGTACATATATAAAATAATGCAATGTAGAAAAAAGAGAAGAGACAGATAGATCGATAGATAGATAGGTTGATCGATAGATGATAGATAGTTCGTGTGCGCGACGGGAAGCAGGTAGGAAGGGCTCAGCGAAGGACAGCGAAACACTGCATCGACAAACGCGTAACGTGAACAAAAAATATATTTACTCTAAGAACAACACAAATTACAATTGTTTAACCGCCACAGAATTTACAAAAGATAGCCGAGTCGAACGTATAGAAATAAATGCAATAAACGAGAGAAAAGCCGGGTCGACAATAAATTACGAATGTCCGCAAGCAACGATAATTAAAGTGAGAAGCGAAAAGGACAAGCGATCTTTTCGTAAAGTATAAGCCACACTCTGGCGCGACA